CTGAGCGAGCTGGAGGAGGAGGCGCGGGAGCGGGCCCAGTACCTGCTGCAGCGGGCGAGCAGGATGCGCATGGAGCAGGAGGATGAGATCAAGGAGTTCAGCGAGGTAGGGCCGGGGCTCCCTTGCCTCACCCGGCACCGCAGGACCCTCTGCAGATGTTAAGACCTGCCTGAGCTGCCTGCTTGGACAGGCTGCTGAGAGCCCCCATGAGCTTCACCTAGCCACTCTAGACCTAAACCCTGCTCTGCTTATTGCTACCCAGGGTCTTCCTCTCCTGCCCTTCTCCCCCTCCTCGTCTGTGTGTCTGTCCCTGCTGCAGCTGCCAAGTCTGGCTCGGAGACCAGGGAGACCTTTTGTCCCCACAGCTAATCCTTGGTGCCAAGTGCCACATGATCCGCGACACACAGATCCTTGAGAAGCAGCTCATCGCGAAAGAGCTGGAGGAAGAAGAGAAGCGCCTGGCCAAGATGATGGAGGTGGAGAGGAAAAAGGCTGACGAGATGCAGGAGGAACTGGAGCACAGGAGGAAGCAGGAGCTGATCAGGTTTGCAAAAAGGTCCCTTTTCCCCATGGAGGCATCTGTCCTCTTCCCAGGCCTTGTGCAGGAGCTGGCATAACCTACGGCTGCCAGCTTTACACCGCAGCACGCCTCCCACTCATAGTGACTGGACCGGGCAGCACGAGGCAGCAGACACACCACCCGACGTCCATGCCAGCATTTCTGCTTCTGGGAGTGGGATGGAGCCGGAGGGAAACCTTTCGCTCTCTTCTTTCCAGAGGGAGGCAGGAGCTTGTGAAGCAGATGGAGCAGAACGCGGAGGAGCAGGCTATGAGAGCCGAGCAACGGGACCAGGAGGCACAGGAGCTGCTGGAGTACTTGGAGCAGCTGAAGATGGAGGACCTGAAGGTGTGACCAGTGACCTGCCGGGGAGCAGGGTGGGTCGGAGTTAGATTTTCACCTTGTTGGAAGGGTGAGCCAGTCAGATTTGGTGTGTGGAGGCAACAGCCGGCAGAATTAAAGATCTGGTCTCTTGGGGAAGTTGAGGCATCCTTAGAAAGTGACCCGAGCCGCTGAGCCCTCCCTCACCCCGAGTGTGCTGGTGGGCCCTCAGGAAGGCACTCGGGGAGGAGCAGAGGGAGCGCTCTGTGCTGCAGCTCTTGTCCTGTCACCCTCGGACCCTCTGCACCATTTTCAGGACTTGGAGCGGAGACAGGAGCAACAGAAGAAAATCCAGGCTGAGATTAAACGCATCAACGATGAGAACCAGCGGCGCAAGGAGGAGCAGCGAGAGCAGGAGAGGATGGCAGACGAACGGGTGCTCGAGGACCAGAGACAGAAAATGGTAATAGGTCTGAGTGTGTGCGGCACTGGGGGAGTTGGGGAGCTGCCACGAGGCTCTGTCCCACGCAGGAGCGTGAGGCCGAGTTTGAAGCTGAGCAGGAGAGAATCCGTCGGGAGAAGGAGAAGGAGACGGCACGCTTGAGGGCCATGCAAGAGAGGGCTCAGGACCACCAGGCAGAGCAGGTGAGCGGCTTGCTGACACGCGTTGTGCTCCCGTGCTGGCTCACTCGCCACCTTCCTGGTCACCACCCCAGCAAAGTGGAAGCTGTCCTGGATGTGGTGGATCTACTGGGGCGTTGCAGGTCTGGACTGGCACCTGGAGCCAGGTGACATCTGGAGCAGTGCTGTCCGTGGCGCTGGGAGAGAGGCAAAACCACAGTCAAGCGCTTCCATACCTCCCCCCTGAGGGAAGCCCTCCACGACCTCTCCAGCGTCACCACTGTCCCCCTTCGGCAGGACGCGCTGAGGGCCAAGCGCAGCCAAGAGGCTGCTGAGCGAGAGTGGCGGCGCAAGGAGAAGGAGGCGGCGCAGAGGAAGGCCGAGGTGGAGCAGATGCTGAAGCAGAGCCGCCTGGAGCAGATTGCCCAGCGGGAAAAGCAGAGCCGCCTGGAGCAGATGGCCCAGCGGGAGCACAGCATGGCCGTGCAGGTGCAGCAGGACCGCCACGAGTTCGAGAGGATCCTCAGGTGAGAGGGACAGTGCTAGGAACTCACTCGCAAAATGGCTGGGCCCTGCCTCGTGAAATGGGGCCAAGGGATTGGTGACACGGTGGCAGGGGGGCTGCTGTGGGGGTTCCCGGTGACAAGTCAGCACAGTTGGTGGCTCTGGTGCTGGCCGAGGCCCCGCAGGCAGGTTATCAGTGGGTACAGGGGCTGGAGTAGGGCCTTTCATCTGCCCCAAACTCTCCCGCAGGGCCCAACGGGAGCAGATGGAGAAGGAGAAGGCAGAGGAAGCTCGGAGAGCAGGTCTGCAGCTCGCCCATGCTAACGATGTCCGGCGCCAGATGCA